TCACGCAACTTAATTAAATCAAGTACAAAGTGCATTACTTAATCTTTAATATTCATGAGAAAGACCAGCATCCATCACTTCATTTCTTAATATTAAGTGTTAGTGAATCAGGTAATATTATATATAATTATATTAAGTTTAAGTTTTTTATGTAACATTTAATTCAAATAAAATTAAGTTAAAACGATTTCGTTAAGCTAATATAATTGAATATCGAGTTTATCTTTGCTTCGATAAGAACTGAGAGTGTTACTATGCGAGCCATTTCAGAGAGAACTTCCGATAAAATTCTCTGATCAGCCCAGGTAACAATATGTTTTCACTTTACAAGAGTATAGAAAAATTCTACTCAGATCACATTGATTGAAATGAAACAGCTTCTAGTCAACCAGATTTCAGCAAAAGTTTTTTCCAATCTTATAAGGAGAAAACATAGTGTTCTCCAGGCTGATAAGAGAGTAAGCATGGGTTCTCTCTTAAATGGATCGAATAACAGCATGTTGAGTCCTTAGTGGATTATGGAAAATCTCGGAATTAAATAGTATTCACCTAGCACAATCATTAAAACCTAATTTTATATGAATTAAGTGGTAAGTAGATAAAACTTAAAATTAATATTAAGTATTAAGTGAATCGTTAACAGTTAATACTACGAAATCAATTGATGATTGCTGATTTTTTTTTTGTGAATCTTAAGAGTTAAACAACGATTCTTAATTTAATTTTAAGTGACGGTAAATGGTTCGTTCGTACAGCAGAAGATGAGGAACTTCAATATATTCAGCTGTGTCTACACGCAGATGTCTTACTCGTAATTTGATGACATATTTGCTTTGTTGCTTCGTACGAAAGACATGTGAAAAGTGACGAGTTGTGCAAATAAAAGACAAAATAAAATCAAACGAAACTCACGTTTTTCTTCCTAGGTAGGAAAAAGAACTAGAGGAACAAAGAAAAAGATTTGTTCGTCTGAAATGTAACCAATAATAAAAGAGTTGTCTCTTGGGAGAAAAATTCTTCGACAATTGACTCATTGGAATCATTATGTGTAAAAATGTCGATGGTAAAAAGCTGCCATGATGACCATAGAACTCATCAGATGGTTTGAAGAATATGGCTTATGGCGAGATATCCTCTGTATCGTTTTTGAAAAAAATCATTTATTTTATATTGAATAGAAGAAATTCTAAGGTATAGTATTTTGTTTAGCAGTCTTTAATCAAAAGAACAACTGTCGGAAAAATTTTCGAACAGCAATTCAAACAGAAAAATTCGGAGAGAGTGATAAAAATACAATTATCATCTTCCATATTGCTCTCAATTAATCGTTCGTAGATGACAATGTTTGAATCACAGCCAAGAAGAAGAATGATATGAAATACAACAATCAATATGTCCAATGATGTATTTTGAATACCAAAAATTTAGAAATCATATGAAACCAAAAAGTCACATCAAAAAAGAAAAAGACATAGCAGAAACATGCATGGATGATGAATATTTCCATAGAGTTGAGGAAAATTGATCGATACAAATGCCTAAAATTAAAATTTTAAATTAAAATATTCGAGATAATCTAGAACAACTAATAAACAGACCCTAACTAATCTATTCAAGTCATCGCGATACATGTGCTTATAGAGACAATAATAAAAATCAAGCCAATTCATAATTGTTACATTGGATATCATTATCTCAAATAAAATATAATTAATCAAATGAATTTTTCATGGATTTATTTTGAAAAGAAAAACAATAAGATTGATTATATTTTAGTGGCATAACCAGAATTCAACTTATGCTGAAGCTCACTCGTTCCTTGTGACTTATTGGTGATAGTCAGAATTATTGCAAGATCACTAAGATTAGGAGGCGAGTATGAAGTATATGTCTATACGAGATAAACGAAAAGACATTTCTAGAATAGGGTGTAGATGTGAGTGTGGGTCTTGGCTTCACCTTCAGTCACATCCACAACCACTCATGCACTCTATTGAAATTATTATAAAATCTTCAAACGGCAACGTTTCTTGTGTGATGTTAGGAAATCAAGCGTTCAGACAATCCTTTCAAGGTAACATTATCAATGGAAAAAAAAATATCTTACTGTGCTTTAAACCTTGTTTGTTCAGAATTAAGAAAATTATGCTAGATCAACTACTTATTATTTCATAAAGATGAAGTTTCTTCGTAATTCAGCTGCAAAATCTGTCATTTTCTGAAGAACATTTCTTCAAGCATGTGCAATAGAAGAGACAATTCATTTCAATGGGCATCGTAGTCAGTTGAGTTAACATGACTCAGCATTTTTTATAGTGAGACTAAGAGAATAATTTTCATAAGATATCTGTCAAAAGACCTACTTCAGTTGAAAATGGAAATCCATAATAAGATCAGATAGATTTTAAACTAAATTTTACATGATGTTTTTATAAATATTTCCAAAAAGAATAGGCTTATGTATTCTATTTATGAGTGATCATTTTGTAAACCTATCAGAGACGAATTTATGTGAAATACACCTTCAATTCATATGAAATGACAATGTGAAAATCTCACGTAAATCGCTGGAATGGTTAAAGAGATATTCATGTTTCTTTTCCGACTGGGCTTTTGGTGCATTCTGTAGAATGAATATATTATATCGATTTTAGGAATAACATACTTTCGCATGTTACACCTGTTGTTGAGTCAGTGTCTGTGAAACTGTGAGACTTTCGAATGGGTGTTATTAAGTGTTGATGCTTCGTAATATACGTAAGCTCAATAATAACACCTCAGAACTTGTGTTTGTTTAAAAAAAAGAGAGTTTTCCCATAAAACTACCTACCTCAGTTGTGTTGTATGATATCGAAATAATGTTCATGATATGTAACAAAACAATATGCTTTATTAAATAAATAAATAACACATATAACAGGATGAGGATAATAATAATTCTAAAGATAACAATCATAATAATATAACAACAACGATATGGATAATAGAGATATCAATAACAATAGTAATAATGGAAAATCAATAAGGATAATGACATAGAAAAAAAATAAAAATAAAGATAATGACGTGGGAGGAAGAGTAGAAAAATAAAAACTGAACAAAAATAACAACACGAAAGGCCGCAAACGATTGGTCAAGGCTGAAAGATCAAAAAAGATCAGAGAGGATCAAAACAACAATAATGAACGAGTATGTGTTTAGCGTCATTGTGAGCCATTTATTGACGCCCCCAGAAGCCAGTTTCGGTGTGCATATGATCTCTTTAATGATATCAGAGTGTAAATAAGTAGCATATTCATCACATCCATCATTACCGACTGAGCAACCGTCTATAGTTGTGAGAACAATAAATTGAATATATCTGATTCATCTGAATGAATGATATACCTTCGTAGTTTACATCTGTTGTTGAGTCAGTGTCTATGAAGCCAGTTTCGCGTGTGCTTGTAACCTCATTAGTGACGTCAGAGTGTGAACGAGTAGCATTTCCATCACACCCACCATTACCAACTGAGCAATTGTCTATAGTTGTAAGAACAATAGATTGAATATATCTGAATCATCTGAATGAATGACATACCTTCATATCTTACATCTGTTGTTGAGTTAATGTTTGTGGAATCAATATTGCAGAGACATTGCATCGTATTATTGAATGATTGATAAAAGCAGCCAGCGTCGGGATTACAGTCGTCATTGCTAAGGATCCACTTACCTAAATATGTATTGTTTTTAGCCGCATTCTCGACAAATTAGAATCGTGAAGTTGAGTGTGGATGTGTATAAAAAGTTGGTGAAGAAAATCGTTCTGTTAGTGATTGATGGAAATGGTGTTGAAGTTTTTTATAAAAAAGCCACACTACATGGTGACAGTGACTTTTTTGTGCAAGTGAGTGAGAAGCTGAAAGTAGTTACTCGGATATTTCTCGAATGATTAATGTGAAAGGTGAATTTGTATATAGAGAACGAGTGATTAGCTGTAGAGTCGAGAGGAATGGTCGAGTAGGATTTCAATGATTCAGAGAATAGATGTAGAAGAATAGGATGTTTAGGAAAAAAGATAGCCTTCTTTCTTTTTTAAGAGTGAAGGGTTACAGAAAGCTATGCCTAACGTTGGTGATTGTGAATGAGGTTTTCTGTTTGAAGGTGATGTTTAAGTCGAAATATTTGGCAGCGGTTGCGTAGTTTTTTTATTATTGAATTAATTAGGATATACGCTGATTTATGAGTTGTTTGAGGAACTCCAAGAAAGTTTGCTGATTTCAATAAATCTAGTGATATTGTATTGTTTTAGAGAAGCAGAGATAGTCCTTGGAATGAAATGGAAGTTTCGAGTTAATGACATCTTTTAATTGGGCTGTGATTGTTATAGAACTGCTTCATTGACGTTAAAGGTTTAGTAGACAAATCATTTTAGTCTATTCTAATGTGAAGTCAATCGAAGATAGGTAAGAATTAGGCACGATGGGCACGATTAGCTCGTGTGCTAGTTCTCACCGGAATATTGAAGAAAATATGAAGAGCTTTGAGAATAGGCTTTTTCTACGAGCTTCAGTATTATTAATATTTCTAATAATGAAGATAAACTCTTTCTCAGGATAATTTCAGTTCGCTAGTTGCGTTAAACACTACTAGGAATTAGTCGTGCCTGTGCCAAGAGATACACCGATGTCACATGTTATCACCAGTATGTAACATTATCCTTGCGTTATTTTACTCTTACTTCATATCATCCTTGTATGATGTTAACGTTGTATCTTTACATCGTACTGTTCATAGTATTCAATACTCTTTCAATACCTTTATAACCGCTGCGCTATTCATTGCAGGTATGCTCATTGTTCTCTTTTCACTCCGAGAGATTACCGCATCAAACAGATGCAAGGATAAATCGTTGAGAAGGAGAGAGAAGAGAAGAGAACAAAACAATCGAGAACAGCCTCAATGGATATTGAACAATGTGAAGGATACACCTCACTCGAGGTTACATATCTTTCTTGGATGTTATATATACATATGTTGGTGTACAAGTCATATTGAGAGAGCAGAGAGCAGTTGTAGTATGTGTGTGTTATATCGAGTGTGTCATATAGAGAGTTAGATATATATAATAATGTGTGTGTTGATATCAAGAGAGAAATAAAATCGCATACAACAAGTAACGGATTTGAGTTTGAAGAAATGATAAACAAAGCAAAGCTATAAAAGACGTGATCCAACCACGGGATTACCCATCTTTCTGCATCTTATCCTCACCTTAGTATCAATTTTTTGTTACAATTCCGTCTAATGCTTCTGCGAAGCTTAACACCAATGACTTTATCATACGCGAAAACTGTATTCCATGCTTTTCAATTAGGAATATTGTCCCTTTTTTTCGACGAAAAAAATCTCAGTTTTTTATCTTGTATTTTTTCTGTCAATACGAGTAATGTGACGTCTGACTTTTGCGGATCCGTTGGTAATGGATAGCCCCTTTTTCAATTTCATTTTATGAGAAAAAGCACTTTTTTATCTTTTTCTCCGAAACACTACAGCTGATTGATCAAAAAGAATAACTAGATACAGTTTCGTAGTAGAAATAAATTAAATTTTTCAAAAGAGGATGTATTTGATTTCTACACTGCTATATTAAATCACACAGTTGTTTAGTCGTAAGCTCGATCTCTGCTAAATAGTTTTTACTGAGCTTTTCTAGATTATGTAAGTCATAACTGAGGAATTTGTCCCAATTTCAGTCATTAGATATTATCACATTCACACATCACTTCTCCAAAGTGATATCTCAGTATGTGGAAACTTGTGAATGGCAAAATTTTATCTGATACATTGATCTTTGAATAGGAACGATTTGGTGAGCTAGCTTCTTGCGCATCTTAAACTAGAGTGTGGATGTTATTCTCCGCTTCAACTCACACCCGACTCAAAACTAAAATGAAGAGGAAAAGTCCCGCACACTTTTAATTTTTTAGAATTTTCTCGAAGACAACTTATTGAAGTGATCTAACTAACGATTCGCGCAGTTCTTAGAGCAACCTGCAACAATGAGATGCGCACAAATTTTAGTGCATAAAGTATTCTAGTTTTCTTTAGAAAAAACAACATTTTCTCTAGCAATTAAAAGCACAAACATACCAAACTACTATCAATGTGAAGACCCGCTTCGTACTGACTTTGCCTACAGAAATTAATGATGTCATAGAAAAAACTAAAGATCAATATTATCATCCTTCTGAATCAAAACAAATTGAAACTAGAATGTTCAATTATCGTTAAAAATATTAGATAAAAAAAATAAAGGTATGCTGAGAAAATGTCGAAAAAACATCCATGTGGAAAGTAGTCCTAAAATAAATATTGAATGTGATACCTTCAGTAATTATTGACTGTAAGCACCCACTAGCGAAGTCCCGTGCATATTGCACGTTTTTATTACTTTTTCAATTTTTGACCGTCGATATTTAACTCTTGATCCTGGAATATTTACTATTGAACCTATGGCACAGCCACTGACTCAATGTCAGTGACTATTGACTGATGATTTTGCTCCCGACATAGACAAACACTCGATATTATTGATTGCCTGACGAGGGAACCGCCCGAGGTGCCCAACGCCGATTTCCTTCATTCATATGTTATTCCATAGAGGGCATCGAGATAGTAGAAAGCCTAAAAGGATTTGGGCTGACAGGCTCTCTGTCTAAAGTTATAAGCATTTTACTGAAATTTTAGGCTATGGCATGGTATATACCAATAAATCGAATGACGGTATTTCGACCTGAGATTTGAGGAACTGCAGAATTCTTCCCAAGCAAAATTCAGAATTTAAAAATCCAATCGGTAAACACTGGATTCGTTCCCTAAGATATATTCCCATTACCGAATAAATTAGTAACCACTACTCTCAGAATTTAAACGGAATTCCTTTACCATTAACATAATAAAACTTTCACTACGTACACTAGAATATTTTATACCCAAGAGAAAACAAAAATTCTAATGAAGTATTTTAAAATATCAGCAGAATTTAAAACAGAATTCTATTACCACTAACAGAATGTTAACTTTGAATAGTCATACTAGAGTGGTGTATCCCCAAGACACAAGAAAAATTCTGATGAAGAATTTCAAAAATATCAGCAGAATTTAAAACACAATTCTGTTACCACTAACAGAATATAAATTTTCAACAGGAATACTAGAATAGTGTAGCTCCAAGGGGAAAGGAAATTTTCTAATGAAGATTTTAAAAATATCAATATAATTTAAATCGAATTCTGTAATGACTAACAAAATGCAAACTTTCAATAGACACGCTAAAATTGTATATCTGCAAGAGGATAGAAAGTTGTTTTTGATAACACAGAATTCTAATCAGACTCTAAACAGATCAGAACGGAATACACCATCTCTGATAATGCAGAATTCTACAGAATTCTAAGCAGAATTCAAACAGACTAGTACGGAATACGTTGTCTTTGATGACACAGAATTCTACAGAATTTCACAGAAATCTAGCCAGAATATAAACAGACCAGAAAAGAATAGTATAGTCAACTCGTTTTTAAAAAAATGTGTAAGTCCGCAGAATTCTGAATTCTACTTGGCAGGCATTCTGAAATTGCTGGAGATTTTGCTCACAGGCAGGCGTATTTATGAGTGGAATACCCTGAAAATCTCAGCTGAAAAGAACGCTTCTTTCCCGAAATATTTAGGTCTTAAAAAACAGAATATTCTAGCATCTTTTGTGATATATAAGTCATTTTTGGGACTTTAATATCTCGGAAAAGAAACGTTCTTTTCAGCTGAAATTTTTAGGGTATCCCACTCATAAATAGACCTGTCTGTGGGCGAAATCTCAGGTCGAAATACCGTCATTCAATTTATTGGTATATATCATGCCATAGCCTAAAATTCCAGTAAAATGCTTATAACTTTAAACAGAGAACCTGTCAGCCCAAATCCTTTTAGGCTTTCTACTATCTCGATGCTCTCTATCAAATGACATATGAATGAAGGAAATCGGCGTTGGGCACCTCGGGTGGTTCCCTCGTGAGTAAGCTTTAGTAATTTATAGATAAAATTGCATCTCTTACCTTTGAATTTTTGTTTCATCAATTCATTATAATCAACACCTAAGAAACAACAAGTTTTGTCGCCACATAGGTGTCCTGAATACCACCATTGAGATTCACGTAGCAAACCAGGATGATTATCTGTAACACGCACCATTAATCCTGTACAAACAACAGTAGAATTAGGATCATTAAAATTGACTATATCGTTTCCTTGTGTTTTAGTAGCCCATTCAATAACATTATTGGAGAAATTAGGATCAATAGTAGCTTTTCCACGTACCAATAATGTTTCAGGTCCTACTTTTGTCTTATTCGGATGAACACGACATTCTAACACATACTGAACATATTGTCCAATTTTATACAAGTTCTTTTCATCTGATGATTCAATTCGTTTGATCTCAGCATATCTTGGATGCGCTGCATAAATAATCGATGGAGTTGTATATATTCCTGGACCATGTTCGTCCAATCTTGCTGGTGCCAATCCACTCAGCAAAATTGATAAGCCATATGTAAATTTTGTACCATGATAAGAAATAGACCATCCCTTAAATTTCTCATCATAGTTATCATTAACATGAAACGCGTATCTTTCCCATCCCACTGGACAATAATACGGATAAGGACCACGATCTCGTCCATCTCGTAGGGAACCAGTCCAATACGTATGACCTGGACCATATATACGATGTCCCCGTGGATCAATTTTGATTTCTTCACGAAATTTTACTTTACGCCTTCGCGACTTAATCTTTTTATCCATTAACATTAAGAATACTTTTAATTTGGCCAGTTGTTCTTGTGCTCTCTGTTTCAATGATGTATACATACTGTGAAGTGCTAGTTCAATATTGACCTTTTTTTCGTTAATTGATACTTCTATGAAACATGAGTCTTTTTCTAATTTTGTATTTTGTATGTAACTTGTATCTATATTGAAAGTTTCACAAGTTGTATTCAAAACTTCTTGTACATCGCATGTATCATAATCATCATCAATATCAAATTTGAGCGATGCTGACGTTAACTCGATAGTATCAGTAAAGACTTCATCAGAGGTTGATATTAGTGGTCTACCTGTAATGTTGTAATATTATTTACATTCTTGATAAAAAAAAAACTTCTTCGGATGATAAAAGTTCAACAGGCAAGGCAATTTGTAAAACACAGCAAACACATCATAGTGCTCTTCGAAAAATACCGGTCTACAATTCTTAAACACTTAGCATGCAATAAAATGATGTACTTCAGAAAATAAGTAGCGTATAGTGTAGGTAGCTCGACACTTTTCTGAAAGCAAACAGTGGCGCGTGTAACAAAATTCTTTTGACACTTCTGAATTCTAGCTTGGAGGAAAAAAGAAGGTCTATATGGCCATTTCTCATCTCACTCCATTTTGAAGACATATTACATGGCAATAGTAAGGCGACTACTAATTGCAATCTACGTAGTAATATTAGCATATATCAGAGTCGTATCCATGTTTTTAATTTCAGTATCTTTTTAAGGATTTTACGGAATTTTTGTCTATTTTTTTTACAGAAACCTTAGATTATACAGAGACGACCATGTTAACTGCAAAAACTGATATTATTAGCGAGACTCCATTCATTATACGCGGGTCTCTTCAAAACACAAAGTATGAGTCCTCATCGACGTAAATGCTACCACACTATTGGAATTTCGAATGTTGCCATAAACTTTCTTGCTTCAACATCGATTCGTTACAGAAATGCTTCAATTTTTGTCTGAATATGCAAGAAGTTCTATAAATTGAGCAATTCCATATCATTATCAGATATGCAATTGCTTTTAACAAGAAGGACAGTGAAGTGCCGATAGAAGTTGCTCCTTCTGTCGAGACGTATTTAAGGAGGTCATTCGCCTCTTAGTCCAGCTCCATACAAAGAGGAACTTGGACGTCAACGGTGGCGCAGATGCAAAATATGTTGGTGTCTAGTCACCTCTGCTTTTGTCCAATTACTTCATACCGTCAGCACAAGCGATCTTTAATAGCCTCTCTCTCTATAGCCATTGTGCGTTCCATAAGTGTGCACCGCGCCTAAAAATCGAGGCGAAGGCGCCGAAGACGTCGTAAATCTTAATACAGTGGCGAAGACAGCCACTGCTTGGAAGCCTTTTCGAGTGGCGGTGCAATTGCTCCGCTCCTGGTGAAATAAGAAGCACGGAGCGGACACGCCGCCAGGCTATCGTCTTATGATATCTGGAGAATTATTTTCTCGATCCGTTTTACAGATTTATTGCACTAACATGGAGTCAGGATGCTTGTTAAGGAATACTAGATGTGAGAGAAGAACAGTTTACATACACTTTCGCTGAATACCTTCGCCTTTGGTATGATTTATTATTAAAAAATATAAACTTAATCAAAATGATAATTCAATTATAGGCTGGCTATTATTACCACTCGACATGTTCGAGATTTTCAAAATCAATTTAATAAGTAATTAAATACTATATATGGCCTAATTAATCTAGAAAGTATCGAGAATCAATATTTCCATTACTTGTTAGAAAATGTAATGGGTATTATAAGAGAAAGAAAGAACGAATACATAAATATGCGAGAAAACTTTTATTGGTATGGTTTATCGATAAATGCATTTACACAAAGAGTATAGAAACACTAGGGAAAAGATAAATACAAGAATGACAAGACGGACGGACAAAACTTTCTGCAAATAAAATAATATCCTATATCAGCGAAAATGGCAATTGAAACGAATAATATATCTAGTATGTGTGACGAAAAGGCTATTGAAAGGATGAGAAAAAATATATAAGACGTAGTCCATAACGTTCCAATTGAAAACTAATTCCGTTATAATACACTGAAATTTGATTTACTCTTAAGAATAATTATCCTGTCGATGCCACTTCATTTTTTGACTTTTAATTTAACGTAAAGAATACATAGATGTCGCCGAAAGACAGTAAAATTGTCTTTGCTTTTCGAAATTCAATTTAAAGAAATTCTAATAGCTAATATGATCTCGAGACGGCCACCTAGCAGCAAATTTAAAATTGAGGCGGACGCAGCGCGGCCGCCGAAATGTCAATAAAATTTCGCATTGGGACGCGGGTGGTGCACACCTCCGGTGCGTTCGCTCCTTTCATCTCCTCTGACTATCATTGCCAAGTTTTCTAAGCCCTGCCAAAACCTTAGAAATACTCATTGTCGAGTTTTTTGAGAAATTGTGGATTAAAACAGTCTAGCACGTCTTTCGTTAAAATTTTGGATTTTTTTGTGACTTGAAAAAAGTGTCGAATCATGTTAAAAACTAGTTTTCCACGATCAGCAGTTCACTTTCTATCAAGCCATGTTTGAAAAAGACAAAAAATAAATTCAACTTGGTATTCGAATTACGTGAGCCTTACGCAAACACAAGAAAACCTTGTGAAAATAAAAAGTGAAAAGTAAGATAAAAGGGCTGTTGTATCATTACTACAGTTGTTGGAACACAGGTATGACTATTTGAGGAGTTGATTTGAATGTTATCAGGTGAGAAAAATTAAGAATGACTTATGCAGATATACTGGCCGATTCTTTCTAGTCTGACTGCTTAGAAAAGTAATGATAACGGTAACGGTTAAGAAAAAAGCCCTATTAGTTTCAATTCTAGTATACAGACTAGTAACTTTCGCAGTACTTTATTGATGGGTTTTTTGAGTCAGTATCACGCGAGATCTTCTATATAATACAAAAAAAAAAAAAAAAATACTTTTCGTGCTAAATATTTCATAGTGCAATGCAAACTCAGTAGAATAAAAATGGGAATACATTAGTTTTCCACGAAATGTGTAGATATCATTGAGCTCATAACTGGCAAATTATTACGTGAAGGATTCATTAGTACAAAAGATTCTCAGAAAAAAGACTAGCGAATTCATGAATAACTATGTTTTGCTTGGTGTATATTTTTATTTCTATTCAAACTTAATTCAAAAAAAAGCATTCATGAAAATAGTTTGATCATGATCCATGGCGTCTGAATGTTGTCAAAGTGCTATCGAGTTGAGAATGGCATCCCATAATATCTCATAAACGACTTTTAAATGATACACGATGTACTATCAAGACATTTCTTCTACGCTGAAACATATATACATTCCGATTTCTTGAGTTACAAAATTCTCAGCAGTTGAGGTATTCAATATACTTTAAATATTACGCTTAACTCGTTGATCAAACTATAGATTTGAACAGTCTCTCAGATGAAAATCGTAGAGTACTCGATGCAGTTGGCTTTTGCTACTAATTCAAGCTTTTAAAACTGAATAGTGGAACTATTAGTGTCAACGCACACAGAAATTTATGGAACATAAAGCTGTTTACCTTGTGTTGTAGTGCCTGCTGTTGTAGCGCTTGCTGTTGCAATGACTTTTGCTGTAGTGGCTTTTACTGTAGTGGCTTTTGCTGTAGTGGCCTTTGCTGTAGTGGCTTTTGCTGCAGTGACTCTTGTTGTAATGGCCTTTGCTGTAGTGGCTTTTGTTGTAGTGGCTTTTGCTGTAGTGGCTTTTGTTGTAGTGGCTTTTGTTGTAGTGGCTTTTGCTGTAGTGGCTTTTGTTGTAGTGGCTTTTGCTGTAGTGGCTTTTGCTGTAGTGGCCTTTGCTGTAGTGGCTTTTGCTGTAGTGACTCTTGTTGTAATGGCCTTTGCTG